ACTATAAATATTGACCAGTGATTCAGTGAACACATAGGGTGATGTGTAACTACATGAACATAACTGTAAGATTAAAGTATATAGACTTATGTTTGTTATATAATAAAAAAAAACCTTAACTAATTCTATTCATATTTATGTAAAAATAAAAATCACCCCAACAGGAGACATCTTTATGGAGCCCAAAAAGAAGTAGACACCATGGGATCAGGCAGAATAAGCATTAAAGAAGAAAACATAATTACAAGGCTGAGGCTGGGGCTCACAGGATTCAATGTCAAAACTAGTTTTAATGCAGAAGGAGAGGGACTAAAGGAGGAACTTAGGAAAAAGGTAATAGCTGAATTCACTAAAGAATTCACTCTGCAGTAATAGCAGTTTTTCGTTACTTAAGAGAACCCAGATTCATTCATAAAATGTAGGCCAATAAACACCATAAGAAGAAGAAGAAAATGAAGAAGAAGGAGAAGGATGATGTTGATGTCGTCGTCCTCCACCATGGTGTGTTTACAGGTTACCGTCAAAGGGGGCGCTAACTACATCCTCCATGTTCCAAACAGATCTGAATCCACCAGCGAAGAAGAAGTGAATGCGCTAACAGACGGCGGCGACAGTTAGCGGCTAACGTGGAGCTGAAGTCAACGTAATGTCTACAGCCTCTAAAGTGGTTCTGGGAGTTTCTGTGGTTCTGACTCTGAGCACCGTGGCTGCTGTTCACCTTAAACAGGGCTGGGACCGCCAGGTAAACCAGGTCGTACTGAACCGGTACAAATGTGCAGGGCTAACAGCCAGTTATACTAACCGCTAGCAGTGGAGGGAGTCTGGTCTTGTGCCCGTCAGGGTTTGTTTCCCCTGTTAAAACTGTGTTTCTGATAGCGCAGGTGGTTTGGATATCTCAGAAGCGAACACCTTGGTGAACCCGGTCTCTCCGTACAGGACATAGTGTGTGTTCTGTTCAGTACTTTAATCCCAAACAATCAGCGCCAGTCAGATTAGTGGAGAAAATAATCAGCAGGTTGATCCTAATGAAAATAACCAGTAGCTGCACTTGGATCCAAACTAGTTCAGCAAAGCTGCAGCTCGACCAGCTACAACAGCCACGTCCTGCTTTACATCAGTGCACGAGCGACAGGCTGGTAATGTGATGCTTCCTTACTGTGCACATGACAATAAACACTTTGGCCTTGACCATAATAGTATAACAGTATAGAATATACAGTATAACATTTTTCTGCGTTGAGTAGCTCGATAGTTAAAGTACGTTGAGGACAGTCTTTTCTGTTTATCCTAAACTGTGAAGATCCATGTGCACATGCTTATTTTGATACGTTAATGCATAATAAATGTCACAAAGTGAAATATATATCTTTTTACTAGTCTTGTCTTCTCAAATAAAAGAACTCGCCCCACAGTACATGTTCATGATGATACTTAAAGTGTTCAGTGCAGGACTTCTACATGTAACAGAGTAGGTTCCTTTTGCAGTGTGAGTGTGGTACTTTACTCTTGGTATAGCAAGTTCCAGCTTGTCCCCTCTGGACAAGGTCCCAAAGTGCAGAACAACCCAGTATAGGAATAGTTTTCTCCTTGGTGTGAATAAGCCATGGGGGAGGGTACAAATAACAACAATAATACTATAATTATAAATTAAGTACAAATAATTTTTCTATGTTTCATTATCTTAATAGTGATGATACCAGTATGTGGGACTAAGTATGTATTTTTGTATTTGCACTGCTTGTATGTGTGATTTTAATGGATGTCTCTCTCTCTCATACTGCAAGCCAAATTAGCTACAGGTATGAATAAAGTAACTTGGACTAATTGTTGCAGCATTATATCACATACTTTTTCTAAAAAGCTATAAGGGACATAAAACATGGGGTCATGCCCATAATTCACTTTGGAAAGAAGCTTTGTAAAGTATACAATTAGAAGATAAAGTGTTTTACAAATGGTGAACACATACCTGCTAAACACCAGCATGTGAACATGTTAGCGTTCAGATGTTAGCATGTAGCTCAAGCACCACTGTCTCTCCATCCAGAGCTGCCAGCACAGCTTCAGACCCGGTGAGTCTGGTCTGCTTAATGTTAGTCTGTGTTTTTACAGCGTCTCCACACGGGTGTACTCAGGGATCTGGAGCGGTTGGAGAGGAAGAAGGAGAATCTGAGGCTTCTGGAGGAGCAGAGGATTCTAACCAGGCATCTGGAGGAGGAGAGACGCCACAGAGAGACAGAGCTCCACCCACAGGACCGCCACTGAGACAGGTAAACACTGATATACCAGAGGGCAGCGGATTAAGCCAGGATTTTCTAGTTATCCTGGATGAATTTAGCTGTTACTTAGTTTCACAGAAGCAATAGCACATACAGGCAGTGGCTTACTATGGAGATCAATTCTGTGCAACTAGCCTTCAAGGAATTGTCACTGTGATCATTGGCCTACATGGAAGTGGAGCCACATAGGCCAGCTTTTCATTTAAAAGTTGTTTTTAATGGATGAATTCAGTCTCATTCACATTTGGATTAATATTACATAGAACACTCAACTAAAAAACAGCTTATTATTAATAATATCAAATATGTATCGTTCAGTCAATACACGTTACGCTCTACTTGTGGATTTATCAAGTTTAGAAGTTGCAGAAAAGAAATTTCAGGTCTGTAAGAAGGAACATGCTACATATCACCCAGACTCCACTGTTTGTAGAATGAACCATTTTTACACATTTAGGCTGTGGATTAGTGGCTGTAATTCATCTTCATGCTTAATTTCCTGAGTAACATATGGTTTCAGTTAAGAACAATGCTTAGTAAATGTATATTTTAGGCGACTTCACACATTCACTCAGTCTGCTGCCACCTGCCGCGCTTGGTCTTGCTCTTTTATTACCACAGTCGTGTTTCAGTTTTTACAGATCATGTACTTGAATTCCCCATAAGCGTCCATGAGTGCGCATGCTCAGTGAGTCTGAAATATGCCGCACGTCTTTGATGGGTGTGCTTGAAAACCCGACCAGATCTGTTCCAATCGTGCCGATCCTTTCATTTTAATGACACTACTTAACACATGGCGTGGCGGCACGGCCAAACGCAGCTTCCGCGTCGGCATCAGTGAATCTGTGATTGACCTCCTCATGGTATGCTAAAGAAAGCGGTGAACACGCATTCATCCGAAGAAATTAGACCTGACTGGACTTAGCTGCACCTCCTCAATCTGGCTTTTCCTTCGTGAAGCTCATTAAGCCAAGATGCCCTTAGTGGACTAGGCCAAGCCTCACTTTGTCTTGTAGTCTTGGATTTCTTAATTCTGTTTTTGTGAACCGGCCCTCGGGTCATCTGTACAGGTGTGCTACCGCAACATTCCTGACTGATGTTAACCTTACCTGTCCAGGTTTCTCCTGAGGCTCAGTGATGGACAGCAGCAGCGAGCAGCTGGGTGGGGGTGAGGACGAGGCGGCCTGTACATCAGCTTCAGAGGGCCTGGAGGAAGGGGAGGTGGAGGGGGAGACTCTGCTGATTGTGGAGTCAGAGGATCAGGGATCAGTGGATCTGTCACATGACCAGAGCGGAGACTCTCTGACCAGCGATGTAGGCGAGGAGGCCGACGGAGGCTGGGCCTGCGAGGACATGTCGTTCTACTGTGACCGCTGCCACAAGTGGATACCTGCAGGTGAGTCAGCCAGTCAGAGTGCCCAGCTGTTTATTCCACAGAGTTTGGTGTCACAGTCAGACAGACAACACAGACATGTAAACAGGAAAACATAGTCATGACCAAGAATATTGGCATCCCTGCATTTCTGTCAGATAACACACCGCTTCTCCCAGAAAACTGTTGCAATCACAGATTCTTTGGTATTCTCATGTTTTGTTCTGTTTGCATTGGAGCAACATAAAAAAGCAGAGGAAAAAGCCTAATCTGATCCAGTCCAACCAGAACTACAAAAATGGACTGGACAGAATTACTGACACCCTCAACATAATATTTGGTAGTCCATCCTTTGGACGAAGTAACTGAAATCAGTCTCTTCCTGTAACCATCAGTGAGTTTCTTCCACCTCTCTACTGGAGTTTGGGACCACTCTTTTTTTTTGCCAGCTTTTCCAGGTCTCTCAGACTTGAAGGGTTCTGTTAGGGTTATTTTATCATAAACAAACGGACTGAGTAGACCGAGGCCAATTTTCTTTATATAAGGATTTTAACACTTGCAGCAAGGCAGCATTCAATACATACAGTTCAGTTGCATGAAAACAATGCTCGGAGAGGAAGTCTCAGCTGAGCCTATTTATACAGTCACGTTGGTACTGTGGCAGTCCAAGAATTCAATCCCTGTTATCAGTCCCTGTCTACCAGACAGAGCCAGGTGCCATCACAAACTTTTCTGCATACTCGTGGTCTGGTATTTATGAGAACTATGTGGATCAGCTCAAGCACGAATACATCATCTGCTCTAAACCAAAACACCTGCACATACAAATGTATAACATCTTCTTGAGCATTCGAACAAGTCATAACACAGCATTTTCCCAACAGGCTCCTTCTCCCAGCTGCTGTTCTTAGATCTCTCCACAGGAGCTCTATGGGCTTTAGATCTGGACTCATTTCTGGCCACGTCAGAACTCTCCAGCTCATTGTCTGAAACCATTTCTGGTGCTTTATGATGTCTTCTTTTGGTCATTGTCCTGCTGTAAGGCCCATGATCTCTGATAGAGACCCAACTTTCTGACACAGGGCCCTCTATTGAGCTCCAGAACTCTTTGGTAGTCTAATGCCACACACACAGTCGAGACATCCAGAGCCTGAAGCAGCAAAGCAAACCCAAAACCTCAGTGAACCTCCACCGTGTTTGACTGTAGGGGCCGTGTTCTTTTCCCTGAAGGCCTTTTGTGTGTTGTTTCAATGCAGTCAACAGAAATAAACATGGAAATATCAAAGAATTAGTGATTGCAACAATTTTCTTGGAGAAGTGGTGCATTATGACAGAAATGCAGAAGTTGCCAAGGGTAGTTTTGTTAAACAGTTTGACTCCGACACTGTTGGTCTGCAGCTCAGCTCCGCGGCGAACAGCCCAGCTACTTGAAAGGGGACAACTTCTTCAAATTCATCTGCTACGACTGCTCTGAGGACAGCAAAGAGAGCTTCGAGAGGATGAGACTCACCTGGCAGCAGGTACACAACTGCCATGGCCCAGGTTTATCAAACTGCTACAAGTCTTTCAGTTTTACTTCAGAATAAAAACTACTTACCAAACTAGTTTTGAGCTTTGATAGGATGTTAACCACTGTTTTGTCATTGATCAGGCTGTAAACAACAACCAGAAAGAATCTGACTTTGATAAAGAGATGTTCAGTCTCAGTGAGGTTTTCCTGGAGGTAACAGGGTACAACCTGTCCGGTGTAAGGTCGATCAATATCTCTGATTGTCTCTGATAACTCATATGATCACTTGAGAGATGCTCTTCAAAGTGTCTCATACACTTGGTCGTCAGCTGGAGAGTCACTGATAAACATCTCGTTTCTTGAACTTGATACTCTGCCTTTTGTCCTTTACATATTTCTTTGGAGTTGTTTTTAAAGTTGATAAATGGAGGAGGATGCATTTTAGTATTCACCTGCTGAGCATAGCAAAGCAGACCCACTTCTCAAACACACAATAGTAACTGGACAGCACTCAGAGAGTGCAGAACTCTGCCTCAGTGTCCCCATAAGGGCATAACAGCAATATTCCCCTGATAGTGTGACCCTCATAATATGACTGCTGACCATGAAAACGTGCTGCTGGCATGTGGAATGATGCTGATATCCTTATTAGTTTTGAAAGTTAAACGAGAAAAACAATAGACGTGACAGACATCCACTCACTGGTTTAAGGGTCAAATGGGGACTTCAGTGATTGGACTGCGGGCAAAGCGGTGAAGACGTCTGTTCTCCCTGTTCAACAGCTGTTTGATAAACTGCTCCTACAGCCTCTGTTACTGGCTGTTTGGTGCACTGTGGAGTGATCCTTCATGTCCTCTGCTCAGCTGGAAGTGTGAGAGGAGCCCCTCGCTCCCCTAAACAGGGACAGACACAGGGAAGATACAGCAGAGAAGCAAATTTCTAAATTGGCGTTACCAGGATAGACTGAGTACATATTCTCAAACTAAGTAGTTACTGTGTCACCTGAAAAACAAGTCACAGCTTAAGAAAGTAGCATAACACCGGTCCTACAGAGCCTGGCCCCAAACCTGTGCTGCATAGAGTAGATCTTTCCCCAGCTATGTATGTGCTTGGAGTGCTCAGCAGCACAGCCACACACTTTGGCCACAAGGCAGCTCACAAACACCCAGCAGCCTTTCCAGTACTCACAATGGCAAAGAATGTTTTAAAATATTCCAGTATCTAAATCATGATATGGATCAGCACCAAAATCTAATCAGTTGTTCTGTGGGCCCTACCCTACCTCTCCAACACATTTAATCAAAATACATTCATTATTTTTTGAGTATTGCTATTAACAATCAAACACAGGCAAAACTGTAGCCCTGCCCTGGGCGGAGGTAAAAATAATCTTTGCTGTGTGGCAGGTGGTGATGCTGGCCATGTACAACTTGTCCCTGGAGGGGACGGGTCGACAGGGTTACTTCAGGTGGAAAGAGGACATCTGTGCTTTTATTGGCCGACATTGGAACTTCCTGCTCGGAACAAGGTTGCTGTAATATTTATTTGTACAGTTATTAACACATTTTATCCTGCTTTCCTTGCCTTTACTGATTTAGCTGTTTGTTAAACTCTTTGTCACTTAATGTTTGAAAGCAGACCTGATGGGTATCTTTGGTTGAAGGATAATTGAAGTGTTTATTTTTAAATAAACCTGATAATATACAGTTAATTTTGTAGCCTTTTTGTTCAAGTCTTTTCCTTCTCTCACTGTGTGATTCCCATCGCGGCCCCACGATCCACCACCTCTCAGTTCCCAGAATGAAAGCTAAAAAAAGGGGAATGGTGGCTGCAGCTCTCAGTTGGTCAGGGGTGTGACCACTTTCCTGTGTTTTACCTGGTGACTGTCAAACTCTGCAGGAAGAAGACGTCCACATGGTGGAGCACAGTGGCCGGTTGCCTGTCGGTCGGCAGTCCCACCTTCTTTCGCTCAGGAGCACAGGAGTTTGGTGAGCCCGGCTGGTGGAAGCTGGTTCAGAACAGACCTCCGACCCTGAGACCAGAGGTGGACAAATCCACTAGTAGGGCTAAAGGTAAGTGGTACTTGGAATTGATCCTGGAGGTCAAAGGTTAACTTATACAGGTAAATGAAAGTGAGTTGATCTTTAGTTGTTTCCATGCAGCTTCTAAACCTGCCATAGACCCGATTATTACCGTTGAGGGTCTGAGGAAGCGAGGAGCCAAAAACCCTGTAGAGAACGCCATGCAGCTTAAAGAGAAGCGTTCTCGTACACAAGAGGCCAAAGAGATCCGAAGGGCTCAAAAGGAGGCAGTGGGAGGCTACAATGACCGCAGTGCCTCCTCCACACCCGTCAAACTGGGTGGAGGCCGCGGTGGGAGCACTGGACGCCGGCCTGATCTCGTCCTGGAGAAAGGTGAGGTAATTGATTTCTCCTCCCTCAGCTCTTCAGACCGAACGCCGCTCACCAGCCCATCGCCATCACCTTCACCTGACTTCTCCGCCCCGGGCACGCCGGCATCTCATTCAGCTACACCTAGCTTGTTGTCAGAGGCCGACCTTATCCCTGATGCCATGCCTCCACAGGCACTGTTCCATGGTGAGTGAACACCCAGCTCATTAAACAGAGCGCCACAGGGATGACATGTTTTTGTAGGCCAGCCCAGAAGTTAGCATCACCTTGGTTCCCTCAACAAAAAAGCTAGTGGGATTTTTCCATAGACTTTTGGATGACTGCATATAATAAACTCAGTGACAAACAAGTTTGACACTTGTTTTGTTCAGCAAGATGATCTTCAGCGGTGAACACCACTCTTATGATGTTTGAAGCCCAAATACAATCGCCAAAATAAAAGGCTGTTGTTAGGATATAAATGAACTGTGCTATGGTCCCATGACTTCAGCATCACCGCTACTGCTTCCAACTTGTAATTTCATTTAGCGATCTTACCTCTGACAAATTCCTTTCCTCTTAGTGTGACCTGATGTAGCTAGTTATCATGGCTGTGTTACTTAGTTAGCATAGCTTGCAAATGTACCAGGTCAAAAATAACAAGGCTGTAAAGGCAGACTAGTGAGTAGTGAGTCTCCATGTTTGACATGATGAGGGTTAATATCCCAGACAGCCTCTGTGGTCAGTTTACTCATTTGTTAGCTTCTTTTAAGGCCTAAAATCACTAAAAATCATGAGTGGAGTATTGACTGAGGTATTTTATGTATAGAACAAAACATAAAACAGTATTGGTCTTGTGTTAACCACAGACCTTATGTCAGGCGTCTGACCAAAAACCCATTCAGAAAACCCATTGACTACATGGCGAAGGAACCAGAAGTGCAAAAATGCTCAGTTCTGGGTTTTAGGACTCGGTACTACAGTACTATGTTAACTGCCCATTGTGAGTTTTTGTGGTGTTCTAACAAACACTGATGGCATGCCCTCTTTGCTGCCTGGATCTCCAGATGATGAGGAGATGGAGACAGAGGGGATGATCGATCCAGGGATGGAGTACATCCCTCCTCCCAGTACCAGTCTTGTTGCCCATAAGAAGCTTCGCCCAGTGCCACCAAACATCAAACGTGAGGCAAACAGCGAGGACGATGAAGGCTGCGAGCGTGAGGATTATTTTGAAGAGCCAGTAAGTCGAAGTGAAGGCCCATCACTCTCTGCTGTGGGCTGTGTTGGTGCCGGGGGGCTCGAAAGGAGGAGGATGACTCATCCTGAGAAAGCAGATGGAGCTGGCATAGTTTCCCAGAGTCCTCATTATGCCCCCCTCAGTCTTTATGAGGAGAGGATGCTGCTGCGACGGCTGGATGCCTGCCCACTGGCCTTAGCCGTCACTCCGCAAGCTAAACGCCTCCACAGGAAGCTGCTGCTTCGCCAGGCAAAGAGGCAGAGAGGACTCCCTTTGCTGGATATTGATCGGGCAGTCAGCGCCACCCTCAGTTTGGTGGGAGGCATCTACGGTGCCCAGGAGACAGGAACAGTGATGGGAGGTGGAGTCATGGGGAAATACTGCACCAACAGCCAGGAGCTGCGTATTCTAGATCGCTTCCAGGTACCATGTCCAATGCACCAACATTCATCCTAATCTCATGTAGTCAATCTCACGCGGTTCGTCTGAAATTGGTTCACAACATGCAGTGACAGATTCCTTTGAGCATATGAAAACCTTCCACCTTAATGTGGTTAACGTTAAAGGAGCAATGTGACTTCAGGACCACTCTTTGCTAAGGCTTGTCCTGAAATCATTCATGTTGTGTGATGGTAGTTGGTCACTTTGTTGTATTGTGGGATAATCCACTTCCTACAGTCTAACAAGACTACATAATACAGCAGGAGACACACTATATAATAAATTAGTTTGACAGTATTGTTGTTTAACAGTTGGTCTAAACATGATTCTAAACTCGACACCCACATCGTTCCCACCTTTCCTCCACAATCAACCACAGAGCGTCAAAGAAATGGCTTTTATAGCTAAGCAGCAACCCTAGAATAACTCAGTCTGGTAAATGTTTGACAGCTGTGGTTTCAGGCTCATGACTGTGAAATGCTTCTGATTTTGTTGAGCACGGTTAAACCCCGATGGTGATGGAGAGAACCACTGATGTAGACTCTACGTACATGTGTTTTTGTGTAGACAAACCTCTCTAGCCGAAGGGGCGTCCAGCAGCATTCAGTGTCCTTCTGGCATCGTCTGATGGGAGCAGAAGGCAGTTTGGACCAGAGCATCAAGAGTCCGTATACTTCCCGCATCTTGAAACCGTACATCAGGTAGAGAATTTCCTAGAACATTCCAATGGTTAAAGAGTGTCCTGCATCCTTCATCACGTAGGGAGAGAGAGTCCTGAGACCTTTGGTGTGGCAGTAGGAGGTTTCAGGACCTTTTCTACCTCTGATCTCCAGGCATTGCTTTGAGTGCACTATATTGTGTAGAAGGGTGCTATGTAAGACCATTTACCATCAGTATCAGCAGTAGTACTATTAATGATAGTACTAGTAGGTAGTACAGCAGTAGCACTTCACTGTGATTGTTCTTCAGGAGGGATTATGAGAGTCGTCCGGTGAAGCTGAGGCTGCTGGCAGAGATCAGAGCTTACCCTCACAGAAACGAGCCTGACTGGGTCCCTGAGCCTGATTCCTCCATCGACTACTGCTACGTCCGCCCGAACCACATCCCCTCCGTCAATGCCATGTGTCATGACAGCTTCTGGCCAGGTAGCGCAGAAGCATCCTTTTATAACTATCTAGGGATGTCATGATACTAGTACCACTGAAATTCTACGATACTCAGTGAAATTAATGTATTTCAACATGACTTTTTTATTCCATTCCAGCAACAAGAGTGGGATGGAGCCTTCAAGAAATAAAAGGGCATCACTATGATTTAAAACAGATCAAATAAATAAAACTTTTTTGACTTCACATTTCTACTGCAGTACCCAGCTGCCTGAACTATGAAAAAAAAAAGAATGCTGATACTGTGAAAGGACTATTAGGAGATCTCAAAGAAACCCCCAGAGGCTGCTGCACACACAGCATGCAGACACACACACCGCTATATGCTGACAGGCTGAACAGTGACGTTAATGTTGGTAGTGTACTAACGTTATTACGAGCAGCACCAGCTCACTTTATTTTGTGTTGCTCCATTAGCCAAAATACGCTAACGTGAACACATGTCAGCAAGTTCAAATTACATAACTGTAGTTCAGTGGGTGGAGCAGCCATCTCCCAACCGGAGGCTTGGGAGTTCGAATCTCGGTGCCTGCAGTCCACATGTCGAAGACACTGAACCCCCAAGTTACCCCCGATGGTTAGAACCATCAGTGTGAGTTGGCGCCCCAGATGGCTGCCTCGGTTCTGTACCGGAAACAAATTCCTTGTGTCTAACATACTTGGCCAAATAAAGGTGATCATCGTTTGTACAGATCTGGATGTCTGTCTTTGAGATGCTAATTTTGAGGTGTTTCCTCATCACGTTTTCAGATTTTTGGTACCAACGTGGTACTGAAGCACATGACATCCCTACAACTATCCCACCATGACTCAATAAAACTACTATGTGTTTTGTCCTCCCCCTCCAGGTGTGGACCTGTCTGAGTGTCTGCAGTACCCAGACTTCAGCGTGGTCGTCCTCTATAAGAAAGTCGTGATTGGCTTCGGTTTCATGGTGCCTGATGTGAAGTATAATGAGGCCTACATCTCCTTTCTGCTGGTCCATCCTGAGTGGAGGAGAGCCGGCATCGGCACCTTCATGATCTACCATCTCATCCAGGTGAGATTCTGGGTGTCTGAAGGTCCATCTTCATGTCAAAGGTCAAACAGAGCGGTCTGGGAGCTGCCAGAGGACAACGCTGTCATTTAATGTTCAGCTTTTTCAGTTTGCCTTCTGTTAAACCTTTTCCTAATATGTAAATGATGATGTGGTTTTTTTTTACTGTCATGCTACTCTGTCTGGGGTGGTATGGCAGGCACGTTGACATGTTTTGGTGTTTTAGAGGCAGCATTACTAACCTTAATGGGACAATACACCGTATAGCTGAGATGTTCTGGATTTTCTGACCAAAACAGCTGCTTTGCTCCATCATTTCAGCCAGTCCCACTACCCCACACTGTATTGTTCAGGAGCCTCTTGATCCAAATACTGGATAAATTATTGATATAAATAAAAAAATAACTAGGAGCTGGACGACACAACACGTGACGTGTGTCTCAAAAACACGACCTAGTCAACAGAAATACAAGACTAGATGTAAATAAGCATTGGAATTAGGTGGGCTCTATTCTGGCTGATGCTGATCCTGTGAAAATATGCTGTGGTTGGTGCTGACCCGATACTTAGTAGATGTGACGCCTCTAGTTAAAACACAAGTCAGCCTCATGAGGTGTATAACGTGACGAGTCGCCCTCACAAGCCGAATAACGTGACGACTTGACCTCCAAAGATGAGTAACGTGACAAGTCAGAGTCGACCTGTCGAGTCGTCGTCTTCTGGTAACATTCATTATCAGATGAGAACAGGTTAATAAACACTTTAGCTAGCACAGGTGTGTTGGTCTGGTTCTGGTTCCACCTTTGTCTTGTGTTTTTCAGACTTGTATGGGGAAGGACGTGACGCTGCATGTGTCGGCCAGTAATCCGGCTATGCTGCTGTACCAGAAGTTTGGATTCAAAGCGGAGGAGTACATCCTGGACTTCTATGATAAGTACTATCCTGTGGACAGCACTGAGTGCCGCCATGCCTTCTTCCTCCGACTGAGACGCTGAGACAGCAACACCATTTTTGTTTTCAGATGTACAACCGGTCTGATAGTTTGAGCCGCAGAGCCAGTCCACTGCTGCACACCTGGACAGTTCTTCTGCTCAGTCCAGGGATTCAACCAACAACCCCCACTTACAGGCCGCTGTCTGCCAGGCTGGACAAAATGGAAATGATAAATGGACTTGTACAGTGCTTTTCTGCCTTGGTGCTTAACAGATTCACCCATTCACATACTGATGGCGGCAGAGCTGCCATGCAAAGCGCTGGCCTGGCCGCTGGGAGCAACTTGGGGTTCAGTGTCTTGTCCAAGGACACTTTTACATGTGGACTGGGCAGAACGGGACTCAAACCACAGACCTTGTAATCACGGGTTGACCCGCTCTACCCCTGCGCCACAGCCCCCCCAACACTGAGTCTCACAGTATTTGTGGTTAAATTAATATATTGACTGGGTTTTTTCTGAAGACATTTAGTCAAGAAATTGATCATGCACAACACGTGCCACTCAGCCAGACCAGTCATGTGGACTAAACCACAACCTTCATATGGGCTTGTATCCAAACATAGGCTGAAGCCCCTGATAACATCTAGTTTTGTGTGTCCGCTGTCTTTTTGTATTGTTTGGTTCAGTTTCCCACTACACCTGTGTTTCTTCAACCATTAGAGCCAAAATGAAACTCACTAGAGTTTAACACTGGATGTCTAGTTAATGTTTCTTAGGTTGGGTGGACACAGATACTGTATATGTTCAGATGCGGAGCGTGATCGGGGGGGCGCGACAGCAGCAGACGTGTTGGTGTCGCCCCCTACAGGCAAAAAGTAACTGCTGCTGCAATTGTATCACTTTGACCACCTGCAGGCAAAGACTCTTTCTTTTTATAGCTGCCGTTTGAGAGTTTTTGAGCTTTTTGCTAAAATAAAATATTGTTGAAATAGGACAGATGTGACACACTGACCTCCAGTGGGTGGTAAGTTTGTTAATCAGTTTGTCTTTTTCAAACATCAGGTTTATTTCCAGCATGTGTCCATCAGACAAATGTGGCTCAGTGTCAGATTTGCATCCAAAAGTACCTTAAATTTTACCTGAGGTCCTGTCTCCACCCTCCTGCTGTGTGACTGGCTGATGGAGATAACCACACCTTTTACACTGATGAACGTTTGGCATTTCCTCTTTATTATGCAGTTCATGTCACCTGTTAAGAGTGAACAGTTTTATCTAAAAAGCAAAATTATATGTGACAACGTAATCTCAACTCTTAGTGATGAAACCTGAGCCAGTTCTTCTGACTTGTGAGGACCATGAGATGTAGTGAAAAGCTAAAAAACTGACCATGAGCTGAGCTTTGTAGGTGACACAAACTGATTCTAAGGTCAGGAATTAATTTAAATTAACACGGTTTCAATATTCAACACCAAAAACAGACCTTAGTCTAAACAGTTAGTATTATACAGAATAATAAAGCATTTCTTAAATATTGCTCCTGTCTGTTTGCACAGTTGCTACAACATCGGGATGTTACGCAGCTTCAGAAAAAAAAAAATAAAAAAAAACAGTGAAGATTCAGATTCAGTCCAGTTTGTTCATCAGAAAACATCCAGGTTCAGTTTGGGTTTCCCCAGTTTGCCCAGTAAGTCCATTCCAGTCTGTGCAGCCAGCAGAGTGACCATGTTGTTACAGCCCGAGTTCACTGCCACGTCGTACGGCGTCTGACCGGCAGCGTTTCTGCGCCTCGTGCTGGCCTTGCAGCTGAAACCAGGGTGAGAGGTGATGAGCTCACAGTGACACCAGGAGCTGCAGTTCCACAAGTCCGTTCATCACAAGGGAATAAATGAGAGAACCCTGATACTTTTTTCTCAGAAACCTTATTTATTCTCAGCTTTTTCTCTCAGTTTCCAGGTTTGTCAGCTATCACAAGAAACCTAGATATAAGTGAACATGGTGCATGTGATGAGAACAAAGATGTGCTCATGCTCTGCCACTGCCTTCTACCGAGCAGCTGTGTCCATCCTAGCATGCTGTATTTCAGTGTGGGTCACAAGCTGCTCTGCAGCAGATAAAAACTACAAAGAGAAGTGAAAGCAGCAGAAAAAATCTCTGGCTGCCACTTGGCAGCCTTGGAGGATGCAGCAACTTCACATTGTCTCAGTGGCACTAAAAACATTGTTAAAGACTCCTCTGACCCTGGTTTGTTTGAACTGTTGCCCTCAGACAGGTGATGTAGATCAGCCAGAGCACACCCCCCCACACAGGGACTGTTTCTTTCCCAGGACCATCTGTGTCCTGAACTCTAATCCTGTGTGGTTTTAGTGTTTCCGTGTTCCTTCTTTATGCACCAAACGGAGTTAAACTCCTAATTTCATTGTTTGCAGAGCATACAATGACAATACAGGAATTCAGTTCAGTCAGCTCAGTCCACATGTGGGCTGCCAGGTTTCCAACTGGTTTTTTGGATCATCAGGCAAAACTTTCACCCAAGTGAACAAGATCGTCCTCGTCACTGGTGCCTCTGGGATCTACAGTACCTTTCGGATGCTCCGCCCTACTTGCCTGACCTGGCTCCTCCCCAAAACCAAGGCCAACGTGTGTGGAAAATGCTACGAGGTTTGAGGAGATGCAATCGGGGAAGGAAGTGAGTGAAGAGCTCAACAAGCTGAAAAAGATGTTTTTTGGGATTGTTTTGAAAAATGGACCCACAGATTGTGAAAGTGCACTGGGCTCGGTGGCGATTATTTGGAGAAGCAGAGAATAGAGAAGGTTTCTGAGGAAACATTAAAGGTCATTATTTTATTTCAGTGAAAGTGAATGAACCTGTGGAATTCCCCTGGTAAATGTGTTCACATATCTCAAACTCAGTTTTTCAGCTGTTCTCTGTGGAAACCTGTGTGAGCAGTTAGGTATATTGGCACTGTCTACAGGAAACCATGTGACGTCAAACTGGGTCATTTTGAATTTTCCAGGTGTTCCTCTTCCTTCTAAAGCTGTTTAGAAACCTGCTGAGTTTCTGACAGCATCATGAGGATACAAACACGTTTTAAGAGGACAGCTTTGTACAGAGGTTTGTGTTCACACAGGTGTAGTGTACCTGAGCAGGACCTGTGCACACTGCAGACCATCAGAGCCCAGAGCTGCAGCTTCATGCAAAGCTGTGTTGTTCATCCTGAGGAAGAGGAGGAGTTTCATCACATTAGGTCATCAGTATACAAACAAACCACCTTCACCGGGGGACCAGTCCCAATCCTCGAGGGCCACCGTCCTGCTGGTTTTCCAGCTATCCCTGCCCTACCCGCTGATGATTACCTGGATCAGGTGAGTTCAGTCAATCACAAGCTGGAATATATCAATTCACTCTGACTTTCCTTATTTGACCTTCACCTAAGATGAAGAACACACATGATCCAGGTAGGGCAGGGATAGCTGGAAAACTAGCAGGACGGCACCCTCAAGGACCGGGACTTGCCACCCCCGACCTACACACAGTGGTCAACATGCACAGGACCAGTTGGGGATCCACTAAAGGTACCAGGAGGTAAAACCAGGGTGCTTGGTGGGTCACCTCACAGCATTTGAAGCCCCCTCCCTGCACGGCAAGCTTGGTGTTCTAGCTTTGAAACGGTTACATTGCTTGCAGATTGAAGTTTCTGAACTGAAGCTGATAGCGGCTGACTGAATCATTCCTTTTTCATGGCATTTGTTTTGATTTTATCTGGTTTTCCTCTGTGGCCTTACTGTCCAGACTGCTGGTCAACATCAGCTCCTCGCTGCACCAAAACAGGAAGTACATCATGGTGACCGTTGACAACAGCAACTGCCAGGGCATGTCGCTCGTCACTGCTCCAGCAGGAGGGGTTCGCCCCCTGGTGGTCAACAAACAGAGTAATTAGTGTATACAGCAACGGGTAATCAAGAAGAGGTTGCCGATTGGCTGCAGAGGCTTGCACCTTATCCAGGAGCTGCTGAATGATGCTGATCTGACCTCGACCCAGACCGAGCTCCTTCAGCAGCTGAACGTCCTGGAACCAGGAGAACCAACAACAGGACGTCAGGCTCTTTGAGTTGAGATCACAGTTTAACAACTCAAGCATCATCTTCTTCTGTTCTCTAGCCAAAGCTTAAATGTGTACCCCACTCCTCAGATAAACTGTCACAGCAGGAGCAGATGGGGGAGAGATGGGGGGCTTTCTTACCAGGGGGTTGGATGTCAGGTTTGATCTGGGGGGTTTCATCAGCTCTGCAGACCAATCACTTCCTGTCAGACACAAATCAAACACTGACTGGCACAATGCTACAAACCTGTTGACAACTGGGTCTGAGAGCTGTATGGTCCCTCTTGATTAACCCTTTACTGGATGAAGTGATCCTGAGGACTAAATCAGCGAGGTAAACAGCCCAGAGGCTGCACTGCTGACGAGCAGTTCTGATGGAGCATATTCAAGTTCAAAGTGTTTATTTGTCATATGCACCGTTAGGAAACGTGTTTCCCTGCACAATGAAATTCTTACTTTGCCGTCCACATGAATGCCACAAAATACAAGTGAAATATAAAGTAGATTAATAAGTAACACAAAATCTAAGGTACTTTAAGCAGCAAATGCAGCAATATAATAAAAATAAATGAGAACATAATAAATGTATGCTGCATGGGAGCAGCATGTGCAACAGTCAATGTGCAAACAGAATGTAAACAGTACATCACATATTTCCTGGTAATAAACTCCTCAGCTGTTTAGGACTCTGATGGCAGAGGGAAAGAAAGAGTTTTTCAGTCTAGTGGTCCTACATTTCACACTTCTGAACCTCCGGCCAGAGGGTAGGGAGGTGAACAGTCCGTGCTGGGGGTGGGTGGGGTCTTTAAGGATGGAGGCAGCTTTCCTACACACCCTGTGGTGGTAAATGCTCTGCAGAGAGGGCAGTGGAGTCCTGGTGATCTTCTCCACAGTCTTTACCACTC